TTTCTCAATGCTAATTTTGTGTCCTGCTACTTTACTGAATTAATTTGTCAGTTTCTAATAGCTTTTTTGTGGACTCTTTAGGGGTCTGTATATGTGGTATCATTTCATCTGCAAATAATGACAGTTTTACTTCTTCCTTTCCAATTTGGATGCCTTTTAATTCTTTTCCTGGTCTAATTGCTGTGGTTAGGACTTCCAATACTGTGTTGAATGGAGAGGTTGAAACTGAACATCTTCGTCTTGTTCCTGATCTTGAAGAAAATGAAAAACGTTAATTTCTAATGATTGAGAATATTCTCTCTTTATGAATAACATTACTTCCTAAACAGTACCTTATGGAATGATATGAAATTGTTTCCTACATTTTATTCATCATAATCAACATAAATGATGTCTCGGGAAACTTTCTTTCACTCAAATCTCTATTCGATCACCATGTGCATTGATTGGGTTCTTAAAAGGAAAATACGCATATATGGTGGGAGAATATGATTTCCAGTAAGGTCAGGGCATGTCTGAGCGGGCCAGGGATTCAATTCTCTGGGTCAGTACTTCCAGAGTCCCCACTGACAGCCCTTGCCCCATGTCCTCATAATTTCAACTCCTACAGCCCTGAGGTCTGTGGTGGGTAATACTTTATGTCCCTGAGACTGTGTGTTTGTGTCTGGCAGAGAAGTTTCCATGAAGTTGGGTGCTGTGTGTCCAGGAATATGAGGGAGGAGTGGCTTCCTGTGCAGGTGGAAGGGGAGGGTGGCCTTGTCAGGGGCCGAGGTAAAGTCTGTGCCCCAAGGTGGGAAGAGGCAGATTTGGGTTCCTCTCAAAGCCTGCCCTTGGAATTCTCAGCGCTTCCTGCAGGACTGACGCTCCGTATTGCAGCAGGGTGTGTCAAGGCCAGTGCCCCGAGGTCAACCAGAGGCCTGTTATCCATGGTTTCCCACACCTGAAATTTCAGGTCTCTTTTACCCAACCAAAGTGTCCCCAGATACATGCTGTCTTTTGTCTTTTTGTCTTTTATGTATTGTGGTTTACTTCCTCTCTTCCCCTTTTCTCCTCCTCTTCTCTCTCTTTGTGTCTCTCTCTTTCCCTCATCAGTAGTTACGGAACACTCACTAAGGAAGCAATTCAGAAATCTGTGAATGTTGGTGACTATTAAAACATCTGCAATGGCAACATTAGTGTATGAAAATCCAAACATGACTCTCCGTGATCCACACTGTGGACTCACTAGATTTCCCCAACAGTATTGCTGCCTCATCGAATCTGAATGATTGCCTTCTGTCTCGAAGGCGGGGGCTGAGTAACAAAGAACAAATCAGGAGGAAGACATAGTTTTGTAATCAAGAGCTTACAGAGTCTGCACACCTCCAAATCCTTCAGACAGCATGTTGTTTTCTGATCTACCCACTCCCCATCTACCTCCCTTGTCCTGTCCCCATTCAGTTGGAAGGTGAACTGGAATCACCGCTGTGTCCTCACTGCACAGTCACAGCACAATATTGCTTTCTTCCCACTCTGTGCCCAGGACTGTGGGGCCTGGTGAACAATGCTGGCGTCTCTGCACCCACGGCACCCAATGAGTGGCTGACCAAACAGGACTTTATGAAGATACTCAACGTGAACCTGTTAGGGGTGATTGAGGTGACCCTGAGTCTGTTGCCCCTCGTGAGAAAGGCGAGGGGCCGTGTGGTCAACGTCGCCAGCGTCTTGGGTCGTGTGTCTTTGTATGGTGGGGGCTACTGCATCTCCAAGTACGGCGTCGAGGCCTTCTCGGACTCCCTCAGGTATTGGACTGGGACAGAGACCCTCCCTCTGTACTCCTGCATCTGTGCTTCCAGGGGAGCCTTCTCCAGGGCGTTCAATTCACACAGCCTCAGAGGGTCTTCCTTCCACATCTCTCTCTCGTGCTTTGCATCAGAAATTTACTGGGAAGCACCTTTTTATCTTCTGGGTGTCAGGATTGGCCCCAGATCAATCGAGCTTCATTCAACTTCTCTCTGCACAGTCAGAATACGTTTGAGTCAGAATTGGAACCAATATTATTTGGCTGCACAGCCCATCCATGTACAAGTATAACTGCTATGATAATTAGGTTTGGGAGCCCTGTTGGCAGTGTAGCTCCAGGGAAGCACTTTATCCAGGTGAACTTCATCGTGTCAGCAATAGACACTCCACTAGCTGGAGAGCAGAGGATGGCTGTGATGTGAAGGAGCTGAGACCGTAGGCTGAGAGATGCCCCTGAGAGGACTGATGGCCTGGAGGTTGACCTGGGTGGGAGAGAAGATGGAACAGACTGAGGAGTACGGGAACGATATAATTGGCAAAGTCTATTGACCCACTGAGTGTGACAAACATCGAGATACGATTTCTGGGATGCCTTGCAGCACACTGGCAGTATTTAGAGTTATGAGCACATGAACATGGAAGATGTGGGAAAATACTCAAACTCTATAGAGAGGCAATTCCATCATCGTAAGTTTTTTCTCCTTGGCTGCTGCACTGTACACCTCCCCCGACGTTTGCCCCACCATAATCATATTATATATTGGTGTTTTATTGTTTTTCATGTATTTTGTGTTTTATTGTGCAAGTCCTTTGAAGTCATTGCCCTTCTGCCTGTGTGCCGTGCAGGAGAGAGGTCTCCCACTTTGGAGTGAAGGTGGCCATCATTGAGCCTGGTTACTTCAAGACTCCTTTGACCAATACTGAGGTGATATCTAGGAGCTTCCAGGAGACATTTGATCGGGCCAGCCCAGAGGTCCAGGAGGCCTATGGGGAGAAGTTCCTGACATCCAGTGAGTGCTCTGTGGACCATGGGGAGAGAAGCCAACTATTTTCTGGAAGCCTGGGTCCATCATTAGAACCTCTTACATTCTCAGGTCCATCCTCCAGGCTCTGACCTGGAAGGGTGGGGGGGCCTTAGATCCATTCCATGGTCTTGCATGGTCAACTAGTAACCTAAGGAAAGAATCCAGGCTTGTTAGACCTGGCACCACTGTCTCATCTGAACCCCTCATTATGTTGAGGAGGAGATGAAAACCAGAGAGAAAAGACACCTGTGAGAGAAAAGGCAAGCTGGCGTTAGAACAGCTGATTTTCAGGTCTTAGGTTTCTAGTGTTTGTAGAGATCTCCAGTTTATGTGTTCCAAATATACCCAGGAATAGAGCAGAGGCAGTTAGTGTGGAACTGTTGCTTCTGGGATAAGAGTTTGGGCACTCTCTAAGGAATTTGGGTGGATTTAATTTGGGGGAGTCAGGAATTCTGGAAATTCACTCTATAAGTTGATCTTATTTGTAGGAGTGGCTGGAGGTGGGAATATATCAGAATCCTTTCTCATTCTGGACAGGCATGACGATCATTGGATTACTGGAGAAACAGTGCACAAAGAACCTGTCCTTGGTGACAGACTGCATGGAACATGCCCTGACTGCCTGTTACCCTCGCACCCGATACTCAGCTGGTTGGGATGCCAAGTTCATCTACCTCCCCATGAGCTACATGCCCACCTTCCTGGTGGACACTATGATATCCTGGGGTTCCCCACGGCCTGCCAAGGCCCTGTGACCAAAGACCAGCGTTCATGGTAGAGCTGAGTTGGGTACTGGGAGGGAGGGGATATTTCAGCAGGAGAGAAGTATAATGGAGTTTTTTCACATTTTCAGTAATGCTTTATAAGTAAAATTAAGTAATTGAATCAAAGAATATGCATTTCTTTAAGGCCTAGGAATGTTTTTGAGCGGGGAGAGACTAATATTGCAGGGCTTTCTTTTCTTTCCCATATTTCCAAGGGCAAACTCTGTCTCCCCACCCCACCACCCTACTCCCCCACACCATCTCCAACACACTGAATACCCTATGCCTTCTGACGTAAGGTCTGTGGGTCTGAATCATAATCTTTGTTGCGGGGCCAGCCAAGTGGCACATTGGTTAAGAACTGGCTTGGGACACCAGCTCTGAGCAGCAGGGCCCCAGTTTGGATCCCACATGAGGGCCAGTGACACTGTCTTCTACAGCTAAGATGGTGAACAACAGCTCGCCTGGAGCTGGGCTGCCGTGAGTCGCCGGCCATGGCGTAGACTGCAGTCCCTGCTGCAGTGAGCTGCCTTAAGCTACCTTGTGTGGCCGGCAGCCTGCATGAGCTGCTGGCAGCCGATGTGAGCTGCCAAGAGTGGCCATGAGAGGCCGTCCAATGGCCGGCGAGCAACTGCCTCACCTGGGAAGAGCGCAATGATAATACCAACATGGACCAGTGAAGCAACGTCCTCCACAACTAGACTGAAGAACAGAAGAACGGCAACTTGTCTGCTCCCCTCCCCCAATTCCCCAATAAAATCTTTAAAAATAAAAGAAAAGAAAAGAAAAGAAAGGGTTTGTTAGACCTGGGGACCACTGTGTCATGTGAAGCCCTCATTATGTTGAAGAGGAAACTGAAGCCAGAGAGGGAAGTCTTTGAAACTTTCTTCCCAAATTAGAGCTGTGAATTGGAGAGGAGTGATGGGGAAGGGGAAGTATATAAAGATCTTTTCTTATTTTGAACAGACATCAAAATAACTAAAAGATTTTTTGGAACAAATGCAAGTTGAGTCTACCTTTGGTGATGAACCATATGGAATGCACCTGATACTCACCTGGTTGGGAGGCCAAGTTCATCTACCTCCCCATGAGCTATGTGCCCACCTTCCTGGTGAATGCTGTAGTATATTGGAGCTTCCCAAGGACTATCAAGGCCCTGTGACCCAAGACTGGGCTGCTCTGGGGGTCTAGTTGGGGTTCTATGTGAGGGTTGATGTTTCATGGGGAAAAAATAGGGCAGCAGGAGTGGGCTCTCCAGCTTCTAGTGTCATGTAATTTACCCCCCTCCTCACCTCTGCCCCAGGTTTCTCCTGGGGCTCCGGAGACATCAGGAGGAAAGAGCCGTTTTGATGCTGAGGAACAGGGACCTAATACCACATACATGTGCTCTGTTCCTTGAGCAGCCTCTCAAGGCTCTGAGACTCATAACCCCGAATCCTCGTTTTAGGGAGGGTGTGAACACTGGGAGGGGTCTCAGTCCCTCTGCTCTGCCTCTATCTACCTCTTCAGAGTGTGCCTCAGCTCTGGCCAGTCTCTCCCTATCACAGAATGGAAATGGCTGGAGGAGGTGACATCCCCTCTCCACTGAAGATACCTATAGACAGAGGTGGAGGTGTGGAGGGCAACCGCCAGGCTGACCCACCAAGGAGACCTGTCTTCTGAGGGTGGGCAGCATTCTTAGCCCTAGGAACAGGGCCTTCTCTGTGATTCTGCAGCCCTCCAAACATACTCCACAGCTTGCATTTTGTGATGTTGGAATAAGAGCCCAGAGGAACAATGCCTTAGCCAGCGGTTAGTAGAGAGGTCCATGAGATGATGAATCAGGTGCAGGCCTGTATTGGGGCAACTCCAAGTCATCCCTTTCCAGATCCAGAGGTAACCCCTTGATCTCACCTGTCTTCTTAAGAGCTGGGTTACTCCCGAGCCTGCTCACCTCTCAAATGACATTGTCTGACATCTCCCAGCCAAGACTTCCTTGTTCACTCACCTAGGAGGCAGAGTTGGGAAATGCCTCCTAGATACAGTGTAGGAGGTGTTGTGCCTTGGGGTGGTTATGAAATAGGCAAGGTTTGCTTCTATCACTTCCCACATAGGCTTTGGGTTTTTTCCCCAAGGGTGGGTCCATGATCTGACCTCCCACCACCCTTGGCATAGAATGGCCAAGGTATCTGGCCTTTTCCAAGTGACACCTGTTTTATCTGATTCTGGAGCTGATCAACCTTGGTAGATAGTGGAACATAGAGACGCATCCTGTACCTTCATTCTAGGGAATTTTGTGATCCCATTTCTGTGTCAGACTTTCTAGATAAGGAAGGTGTGGACAGTTGGCCCTGGGTCCCTGAGGATGAGCTGGTAACCACACTCATCCTGAGGAATGGTGACCCCAGAGGTTTATCCAAAGAACCACTGTAGATTTCAGCATCATTCTGTCCCTGCATCTTATGCAATCCTGGGTGTGGTCCCTCACTACCCACACCTCTGCCTCATATTCTTACTTCCTTTACCAGTTTCCCTCCTATCTTTCTGTGAGTTCTTTGCCTCATTGCCTGGAATCTCTCCCTCCGCTCTAAGTCCTGACCCTGAGAACTTTTCAAGTTTCTGGTCCCAGTCTTTTGCTCCTCCCATATGTTATCCCCTCTCAGAGCCAAGACTCAGCCCCAGGCCCTTTCTGCATCTGTCTGGGAAACTAAGGACCCATCCTTATCATCTGGCTGGACCTCATCTCATTGATATTCATATCAGAACTCTCTCTTCTCCTGCCTTCTCTCCCCTCCTGACTTCTCTTGTCACCTGTGGTTCTACCTATTATCAGCCCCATACCTTAGAATCACTTTGACTCCTGGCCTCCCTCCTCTCTGCTCCTCAGCTCACCAGATCACCTAGTGTGTCTCTGGTCCCAGGGATGGAAGGAAAATGCCCAGTGGGGGCCCTGCCCCAGGATTGCTGATGTGTCCTCAGTCCTTAACCCCCTTCATTTGCCTGGTCACTGGATGACGGCAAGAGCTGGACCTGCTTAAAGCGCAGTGGAATTTCCTCATTGGTGATCTGAGTATCACCTCCCAAGGACACAGGCCTTGAGCCCCTTAGTCTTTCTGAGAGTTGAGGCACATCACCAGCCTCCCTTATAGGAGGGCCCTGTTGCCTCTGGCTTCAGGGCAGTGGAGGCATATCTATCATGGGAGAAACCCTTTGTTTTTCATTAGTTCTCATAATGGAGAATCACCTAAAGGCAGAGAATTCCAAAGAACTAATAACCTAGAACTCATTTCTTTTGGGGTTTGGAGGGCACAAAACTAATTTTGTTTGTTTTACATTAATGAATTTGTCTTCATTTTTTCCCCTGGAAAATAAAAATTAAGTTTATTTACATGCTTGCACTCATGACAAATTATTTTGATCCCTGAACCAGAGGTGGGAGATTTCCAGGGTGACTCTCTGGGCTGAGTCCTCCTTTGTCATTTACCCTCCTCAGACCACCCAGGTGAGCCACCTCTCAGCACCAACATCACCACTGGGGTCTTTCCCATCCTTGGCATCCTTGGAATCCTTTCCCATCCTTCACCCTTCAGGGCTCGGGGAGAGAGAGTCAGCTGCCAGGGCTGTCTGAAGTGACAAGGCTTCAGGTTAGACTTGAATTTCTTGCATCTGGGCTAATTAGTGTGGTGATGCATCCACCTATAAAAATTATAGAGTGGCTCACTCAGGGGCCTTGTGTCTGTTGCCAGCAGTGGAAGGGAGGAGAGCTCTTCTCAGCTGATTCCAGCACACTGACAGCTGAGGCTCAGAGGACCAGCCTCTCCCATTGTCTCCTGAGCCCGATCCTTCTTGACCATCACCTCCTCCCTGCCCTATGGCGGCTATCACAGACCTCTCTTTTATGTACCGCTGGTTCAAGAACTGCAATCTTGTCCGCAACCTCTCAGACAAGTATGTCTTCATCACAGGCTGTGACTCGGGCTTCGGGAACCTGCTGGCCAAGCAGCTGGTTGATCGGGGCATGCGGGTGCTGGCTGCCTGTTTCACTGAGGAGGGGGCCCACAAGCTTCAGCAAGATACCTCCTACCGGCTGCAGACCACCCTACTGGATGTCACCAAGACCGAGAGCATCCAAGCCGCGGCCCAGTGGGTGAGGGACCAAGTGGGAGAGCAAGGTGGGGCAAATTGCGTTCTTTGGCTTTCTCAGTTTATCCTTCTTTTTCTCTGTTTCTCCCACAGGCATCTGACAGTTATTAGGGACCATGTTGTTCAGATGGGGTGGGAGAGGTGATGTAGAGAAAGGAACAGGGGTTCTGGTTCAGTAGGACTGAAAGCTGTTGCACTATTTGTTCTGTCCACATGAAGGGGCAATTTCCCAAGCAAGTTTTCCCTCCCAGAAACTCAGAGGGATGGAAGGAGGTTGCCATAGGAGGTGGGGGAGAGAAGATGAGTTCTGTATGTCCAAACCTCTAAAAATGGAGTTGCCTCTCTGGAACTTGGCAGTCCTGACTATCAGCTCCTATAGAAATGTGAGTGCACTTCTTATCGGAATCAGGCTGGAAGGAAGGGGATGGGAACATGAGATTGGACTCCCTGAGTGGGAGCATTTGCTCTCTTTGACTATGTCAGGCTAGAAGGCTAGGGGAGAGAGAGATCTGTCCTTTTCCTCATGTCACGGTGGATATTGGGTTGACCTCAGGGTAAGTACTGACATCAGAGTGGCTGCTCCTATTGGGAAAGGAGGCTGTGAGCTGGGGCTAGACCAGGACTGCGTGGGGACTTACCCAGGGAGCTTGCTGTATGCAGTGCGTGGGCTTAGGAACAGGAGGAACAGGGTGGTTCTGTAGAAGCAGCAGCCTAGGGGAAGTCCTGACTCCTAAGGGAACAAGTCTGGGGTTCATGCACACAGGTGAGGGCAGGAGAGCCCTCGGGCACAGGAGGGACCAGGCAGTAACTCCCTGCTTTATTTTTCTCCTTAACATTTACCACTACCCACTATCCAATACTGTTTATTTATTTTTCTTATTTACTGTCTATTTCCCCTGCTAGAATAAAGCTTCCTGAGGAGGCAGGGCTTTTTGTGTCTTTTATTTACTACATATCCTTAGTACTTACTTAGAACTGTGCCTGGCATCTAGTAAGGTGCCAAATATTTGTTGGATGAACTAAGTAATGAATAATTCAGCAAGAGTGAATTAGGCTGCCTCGCCCAGCGCCCTAGATTCAGCCCTGAGCCACTTCTGTTAATGATTCACTGGGTATATTAGTTTCCTGTTGCTGCTATAATAAATGAACAAAAAGTTAGTGGCTTAAAATAACATAAATTTATTGTCTTGTAGTTCTGGAGGTCAGAAGTCCAAAATGGGTCTCACTGGGTTAAAATCAAGGTGTCAACACAGCTGCGTTCCTTCTAGAAGTTCTAAGGGAGAATCCATTTCATTGCCTTTTCTAGCTTCTAGAGGCTGCCTGCATTCCTTGGTTCATACACTGCTTCTTCTGACTTCAAGGCCCACAAGGTCGGGCCAAGTTCTTTTCACACTGCCATCTCTCTGGTTCTGTTTTCTGCCTCCCCCTTCCACTAGAAGGACCCTTGTGATTATATTGGGCTCACCCGGCTAATCCAGGATAATCTCCCTATTTTAAGGTCAGTCGATTAGCAATTTGAATTTCATCTGCTACCTTGATTCTTCTTCCCCATGTAATCCACCATATTTACAGGTTCCAGGGATTAGTATGGGCACATCTTTGGGGGGGACATTATTCTACCTACCCCACTGGGTAACATACATGCTCAAAAAAACACTGGGAAATGGAAGTAGGGGTTTTGGCATGCTTTCTTATTGCCCTTGAGAGCTCTGGACATGACAGGTTGACCCTAAAGCTGTTCACACTGCTATAACACTTCTGCAGCTGCTCTTTGCAGAAAAAAACATTAAGATTGTCCTGGTTTCCCAGCAGGCAGAGCCGTTTACCAGGGATGATCAGAGGAAGTGGCGAGTATGTGTTCCTTCTCCACAGGTGGAGACCACTGGATTTTATAGCCTTTTAGTCTCAAGAGCCTCATTTTCTTCTCTGTAAGACGAGAGTCCTTTCTAGCTGGTAGGGTTCTGAGTCCTACCAATCAGTTGGTCTCCTGGGGTCTCTCTAATTAGAGGAAGGCAGGAAGATAGGGTGGGGGCAGAGCTTTGGTGTGGACACTAGGCCAATGGGAAGAACTGGACCATGAGTGGTGTTTATATCAAGATCTGCCCTCAAGAGAGAGTGGAAGTGTGCCCAGAGGAGGCTGCAGGGGCCAAGGTGGGGTGGTGGCATGAGGCAGGGGAAGGGAAGAAGCCAAGGCAAGAAGCTCATGGAATCCCTGAATGAAAGAGCTGAAAGGCATCCTTAGGGAATCATTTAGAGGCTTTCCCAACACGTTTTAGCATCAAACCCTCTCCCCCAAGTGGAATTTTACTTGGAAGCTCAATATAGAAAACAAATGAAAGCTGAGCTTCTTCTGCATCTTTCTCCCTTAGCAGGTTCTGGGGTTCAGCCTGGAAAGCTCTTAGGATTGCAAACCACAGGCTAAAAAGAACTGTTCTAGTCAAGTCAACAAAGAACCTGGGGACCAGAGAGATAAAGTGAGTTGCCCAAGGCTGCAGGTAGAACCAGGACTGGAATTTGAGCCCTTCAAGCCTGGGTCCCTGCGGAGTTGAATGACAATACTTAGCATTATTTCTCTCTGTTTATACCAACTCAATTTAATTATCTCAGAAAGCCCTTTTCACATTTTTCCATAATTATTTTATTTAAACATTTCATATATTTAATTATAACTGTTATCTATTTCTTCTCTGGTTTGTGAGTTCCTAGAGTGATAAGACCCTGTGTTGTTCATTTTATGTCACTAGTACCATCCTCTGTAACTGACAGAAAATAGATGCATGAATGAATGAATGGATGTGTGAAGGGATGAACAAATGGAGTCATTTTGGTAATGTGTGTAACGAATTTGTTTTTTTATACTTAGATGAATATAGAAGGGAAGCATAATGGGGGAAGAAATTCAAACACTTATTCATTGGTGTAAAAGTAATATCTCTTTTTCCAAAGCTAATAGCTTAGATGGTATTAGCTAAAGCCTGGATTGTTACCTGGTGCAGGGCTCAGCTAGCTGGCAGACATGAATTAGAAAAAGTGCCCCTTTAGGGAAAAATAATTAGCAAAAGGTACATCTTCTTTCGGGCTGTCATAGCTCCCCACCCAGGCCCCAGGCTGGCCATCTTGTGCCTTGTGCACCTGCTCAACCATCCTTGGCAGCCCTATGCTGGAGGGTAGTAGACTCTGGTGCTTTTCCAGAGACACTGCTGGTTACTGTGTGGTAATCCCTCTCTCTGTCTTGCCCCCAGGCCTCTGGGCCCTGGTGAACAATGCTGGTGTGGGTCTGCCCAGTGGTCCCAATGAATGGCTGACCAAGGAGGACTTTGTGAAGGTGATCAATGTGAACCTGGTGGGACTGATTGAAGTGACCCTCCACATGCTGCCCATGGTCAAGAAAGCACGGGGCAGGGTTGTCAACATGTCCAGCTCTGGTGGTCGTGTGGCGGCCATTGGTGGTGGCTACTGCGTCTCCAAGTTTGGCGTCGAGGCCTTCTCCGACAGCATCAGGTGACCATACCCTCTTGCCAAACCACTCTGGGTGGGAGTCTTGGGGTTTCACCTCAGGAAGAGAGGGCTGGGGCTTGGGGGAATGACAGAATGTGGGCAGGGGAGTTCTGACGGGAGGAAGATAAAACAGCAACAAGAAGAAGACTAGCCCTCAGGGGGCTTTCCCCAAGGACCAAGAGAATACGGGATGAGAAGAGGTAGAGTGGTGATAGGAGGCTATCTTCCTGCCTTCCCTTGAGTTGCTCCAGAGTAAATAAATCCCTGTTTGGGTCTAGAGGAGGGATTGTCACCCAAACAGACAGAGAGGACTGGGGGGTAGATGTGCCCATGGGAGACCCTCAGAAGAGGATGCAAGCTTTGCATTGAGCTCCTCACTCCTTTTGCCATGTGAGTGCTGGTTGAGGGGCTGAGTGAGAGGGACCTGGGGGGCAAGGCTTTGGTCTAGATTCTCTGTTAACTTCCTCCCATCTGGGTTTCCCTAATGTGAATTGCCCAGAGACCAGGCTTGGGAAATGGCTGAGGTTCTATGACAAGGCTTATTTGCATGAAAGCAAAGCTTGGCCTGGTGCAGTGTTTGGGAGAGCACTTCTAGATTTCTGGGGAGATCAGTCCCTGTAGAACAGGTGTCTCTTCCTGATGATCCTTTGTCATCTTGGGGTCCCAGAATGAGTCCAACTCTTCTTTCCCAGGCGTGAGCTCCACTACTTTGGGGTGAAAGTCAGCATCATTGAACCGGGGAACTATCGGACTTCCATTTTGGGCCAGGAGGGCATGGAGTCACGCTTGCAGAAGATGTGGGACCGGCTGCCTCAGGAGACCCGGGATAGCTATGGAGAGGAGTACTTCCGTATCTGTGAGTCCTTGGGAGGGAGAGGGGCCTCCAAGAGGCACAGGGAGATCTTGGGGGGTCACTGACCCACTTCCATTTTATGGGTGATGGGATGGAGGCTCAGAGAGGTTATGGGCCCAAGGTCGCACAACTAGTGGCAAAGCTGGGGGTTGAGAAGAGAGACCAAGAGGGCAACTGCTGGGAGTGGCAGAACCATAGCTGCTGGGGAGATGAGGTGTTAGGAGAGAGATGCTGCCTGCTCCTGGCACCTGTCCCCACAAACATCATTATGCTGGTGAATCAGGTGAAAACGTACTGATATAAGTACACAGAATATATTAAGAGCACAGCTTCTTGAGCCACACTGCCTGGGTTTGAATCCTAGCTCTACCACTTACCAGTTAGGAGACTTTGGGCATGTTACCTTGTTGCCGTATGCCTCAGTTTTCTCATCTATAAAATGGAGCTAATGATAGTGCCTACCTCAGAAGGCTGCTATGAGGATCAGTATTTGTGAAGTATCTTGTACACACTAAGTGCTTATTAAATCAATGAAGAGGAAAAGGAGCACACAAGTATGTAAAAGGAAGAGGCTCTAGGCAGCTTTCTTCCTCCCTGAGCTAAGGGTGTTCTGTGATGCTCAGGTGTTTTTGGAGAGTAGAGGAAGGACATCACAACTCTTTCTTAAATTGCCCCATAACGTTGTGGAGTTCTTCCAGTGTGAGGGATGAACGGAGCCCTGACCGTTGAGGCTCAAGAGGAGAGGGTGCCCTGAGGGTGCAGTGGAAGATGAATTGTCCACAAGACCTGGTGGAGCAGCCTGTGGCGAGACAGAAAAGGCCACTCTGAGAACCAAAAGGCCCAGCATTCACGCAGATCATGTGATCTCAAAGCAGAAAGTGCGGTTTCAGGAGAGGATGATTCAGAAGACTTCCTATTCTCTCCATTTCCTTGGCTCCCAGCACCTTAGAGCCACCACTGTAGCTGTCTTTGTGAGGGACAGCCTTGTCTCACAAGCACTCTTCCCCATGGGAGTCACGTGCTGCAGCATCTCCTCATCTCCTCCCAGGGATAGTTCTTTCAGTAGCTCCCCCAAAAGGCCTAAGATTCACCCTGACGTGGTAGGCCTATGACGGCAGGATCAGAAGGACGTGTAGGATGTCCAAGAGAGGACTCAACCCAGAGCAGCGATGACCAGGCTCTTGTCTCCACGAAAGAAAGAATTAAAGAGCGAGACAAATGCAGGACAGCAGGAGTTTATTGAAATGAAAGTACACACTTAAGAGGGAAATGTGGGACAACTCAGAAACTGAGTCACACCCAGGAAGTCCTGACCAGGGGTGTTTATATCTCCTGGAGGCTGGAATTGGTGATGTCCCATTCATCAGGCTTGTCAGTTTCTGCCCCCTGGGCAGAACCCTCTGTTTCCTGCTTTTCCTTTCTTATTTTGTTCCTCTGGAACTGTCATGGCATCAGATGCATGCTGGGAGTCGTAATAATCGCAATGTAAATGAGATGATAATGATATTATAATTAGCTAAAAATCAGGTCCCTGTCATAGGGATTAGCCAGGCTGGATGAGACTGGTTCTTGTTTTTCTCCAACTGCAAGTGCTGGATTCAGTCACTTGTTAATTGTGTAACCAGCGAGGCACCTCATGTTGTATCCTGGAGAAGATGGTCAATTTCCTAGGCTACTTATCCTGCCCCTCAATAAGAGCTCAACAAATCTTAGCCATCACTGTTAGTACTAGTCTGATCTGAGAGAAATGTGAAGAGCCTGTGGTGGAGGATGAGGCTAGGAGAGATTAGGAGTCAGATCATAAAAGGTTTTGATGGCTCCACTAAGGAGTATGGCTCTTATCCTGAAGGCATTGGAGAACCTTTTAAATAAATGGCTCTGAAAGGACCTGATCAGATTTGTGTTGCTATGGGAAGGATGAAGGTGGAGACCAGAGGCTAGCTGGAAAGCTATTGCAGAAACCCAGTGAAGGAATGACAATGGCATGTGTTACATGCCAAGTCTTGGTGGCTGTGGGAACTGTGTGTGTGTGGAGGGGATTAGTATTTCAGGGAGCAGGTGCTGTGGAGACTGAAGAAATATTTAGGAATGGTCATACAGTGCCACTGGGCACAAACTCCAGCAAGTTATTGTGGCCAACCAAATAAGCCCCAGGCCTATGAACCCTGGGACAGGCTAGGTATCTTGCAGTGATGTTTAACTATACCCAAAACTGAACTATATTAGAACTAGCTAGTTAATAGCAACCTAACATGGGAACATTCCCAAAGAAGCAGCACAAAGAGTCACATAAACAGAGGGGACCGGCACATGAACAGAGCACAGTGTTCAAATCCTCATAGCCCTGGAGTTTAGCCACAGCCTAGGAGCAACAGAGCCACTTGCCAAGTTTTTGTTTATTTTAACCCTGCCAGAAAGACCACAAAAAATTCCACCTTTGGTTGCCTTTCTTCCTGGAGATCAGAAGGCCATGACCTGTCCCTGGCAAAAGAGAAGGGAACAGAAGGGTCTATACTAACTGCCAAAGCCTGGTCCCTGATATTTGATGGACTTTGTCTGGCTTAATTCTCAGAATAACACAAATGTTTCCTAGTTGCCTGAATCCAAAGTCCATGTTCTTCCTCACTCTCTAGGAGAGCGATAGGGTTAAATGGGTACCCCTGTCCCCTTTCCCACGCCATGTCTAACAGAGCACCCGGCACAAAATAGGAGTGCAGTAAATATTTGAGAGAACAATGAAAGAATGTGTCTTATTCTACTTCCGTGTCTCAGGTGGTTCCTTCCACCCCACTGGCTATGCGGGTGCTCCCCATCTCTTAGAGCCTAGTTCCAAAGCCACCTTATCACATCCGCCTGCCTCACCCTCATCAGCTCACACAGCTTTCCCTGGCTCTGAGGGAGGGTACACAGCCCTGAGTATCTTGAATGAGTCCTTTGACACTCTCTTCCCTGCCTGGGACCTGCTGGTGGTGGACTCTGTGTCAGGCCCCAGGATGGAGGACAGATGAGTATTGGCTTCCTAAGACAGTATCACTTTAAGTCAGCAAGGCTGTTTTGGGGACCCCAAAATGTAGTTTGCCCTTTTCACTGCAGTTTTTTTCTCTCTAGGAAACAGAAAGGGAATTTCCTCAAAGTTGGGGTTAAGGATACTTGAATAACACTGTCCTGCCCTCACCAACCGCCTAGCAGTGTCCCGCAAAGAGGGGATGAATTCCTTACTTTCCTGGACCATCCCCAAAGTCGAGCCTGATTTTGCTACCTCTTTGTTTTCAACTTTCAATCTCTTATCTTGAAGTCTGACTCTCATTGAAGTATGAGGCCTGGAGCACAGGGGCAGATCAGGGCCCACAAATATGTCATGTGCCTTGTCTCCTACTTGTGTGATGAGCTTTGGCAGACTTGGACTTGGGTGCCTTGTACCCATCTTCACACCCATGTGCACAAGGCTAACAGAAGACCCCTCACATTTGTCAGCCTTAACAAGGTGCCTGTCTGTGCCTCACATATTTGAGCCCCACAATGGCCTTATGACCAAGGCAAGGGCAGTGTTACTATTTTTTAATAACTTTTTTTTTTTTTTGCTTTTGTAGAAAATTTGGGAACTCTAGGAGAAAAAACCCCTCCAGTGACTAGGACTCCTGCCAGCCAGACAATATTTCTACTTGTTTTTTTTCCCCAATTTTTCTATGCACTTATGTTGCCAGAAAGTGGGCCCTTTTCAGCGTGAAATCCAGGTCCTTGGCAACTAGAGCAAGGAATTGAACAAGATGCCAAAGTAAAGCACTGAAAAAGTAGTTTATTCGAAAAGATAATACATTTCAAAGAGTAGAAGTAGGCCCGAGCAGTAGAGAATAGCTCAAGGGCCCATTATTAGAAAAAAAATTACATTCCAAAGAGTTTGGAGTAGGCCATGCACAAGGGCGAGGCTCAAAAGGCTCAAAAAGGAAGAAGCGGTCAAGAGAGCAGGGCGTCCAAAAAAGGAAAAAGAGAAAAAGGCTCGAACTTTCCAGGACTTGGGGTTTTTATCCCTTCTCTAGAATGGGCTGTTCCCCTAAGGGTATGGGACCACTTGATTGGCACCAGTGATTGACAGGATGTACTGGGCAGGTACAAGTGACTGGTCTGATCTAGTTGTACCCATTTGTTTTAGGGGTAGATAGTTACAATGAAAAGAAGTTTTGGGTGGAGAGGGGAGGTCACCGGGTGGTCACATTCTGTTGGACATGCAGGAATACAGAGATCCAATGTCTGCCTCTATCTGCCTACCTAGCCTTCCCCTTGAGAGACGTGATCCCCATGAAATCTCTATGGGAAGCTGAGGGACAGGTCTCTTCTCCTGTATCTGCTTCCTGCTGGGCAGGGTTGTAGAACTGTCCCTGCCTATTGGGGGATTCACGGAACTCTCACCTTTGCTGATCTCAGATGGAAGGAAGGGGTCTCGAGCTCCTCCTGGAAGACCTCATTGGCTTCTTTGGTTGTGACTGGCAATCTTGTTGGGGTATCCTCTCTATCCCCAAAGTCCCTGAATGAGGAAAAATAGATTTTAATTAATAAATCTGTTAGCTCTCATGAAGCCTATTGCTATTCAGCCTGTTACTCAGGTGGCCTCAGTTGTCCGGGCCCAGAATGGGTTTGGCATTTAGCTTACTGGCCTGGAGGACATTAGGAAGTCATAGGCTTTCAAATAGTTATCTGAAGCAGGAGACTTCTATTGTTTAGGATTCAGAAACTGATTTACAAAGCAATCAAGAAGCAGGGGGATAGAATTTAAGGATTCAGGCTAGGAGCAATCTTTAGTCTAGGATTTACAAACTGGTTAGAAAAGTAATCAAAACCAGGAGCTAAGAAACTGAGAAACTAGGGAGGAGACTTAACATTTCTATACTTAATATTTCTATAGGAAAGATATTTAAAATTCTTTGGGAGGGGGGCCCTCTCTTGGCCGGTAACATTTACATACACTTGTTTTCTATTCAGTTTGTCTCCACTGTATTCCCTGCTATTATTTATCTTTATTATGGCAGGTATTATCCCCATTTTACAGATGATAACAGTTTAAGCTCAAGGTCACACAACTAATAAGCGGCAGAAATGCGCACTTTTTGTGTGTTGCTAGTTTAATGCAATAGTAGGAATTCAATGCACAATTCTTAAATTTAGGAAGAGAAATAAGGTTATTTACAAGGTGGTTATGTAAGGGACAATGTGAAGGATGTGGTAGATCTCCCTGAAATATTAGATCAGTGATCTGATGGTAAGGGAGCTTGGGTGGAATGCAGAAGAAACCATCTTTAATGTAGAATAACAGAGCCTTTGATGTGTTGTTGTTTTTTCTTCTCCTGTACCCTCAAACAGATACTGAGAAGTTAAAAAACATGATGCGGTTGGCAGAGCCAAGGATCAGCGACGTCACCAACAGCATGGAGCATGCCATTGTTTCCCGGAGCCCCCGCATCCGCTACAACCCTGGCCTGGATGCCAAACTCCTCTACATCCCCTTAGCGAAGCTGCCCACCCCTGTGACAGATTTCATCTTGAGCCGGTACCTTCCAAGGCCAGCAGATAGTGTCTGAGCTGGGGAAGTCCAAGGAGTGGTCAGTTGAGTGTAGAGGAAGGGGATGGGAGAAGGGACTGTGGGGTCACAAGAGGTGGCACCAGGTGTTCTGTGGACACTGTGCTTGGCTGACACCCACTGATGGAGAATTTATGGGTAACTTCTAACAGAAGATAAGTGCCTCTTCACACTCACTGGGGCCCCACAGAAACCCAAGGTAGCCTTTGCAGGTTCAAAGACCTGCAGCACGGCCCCAAGAACATCTGTCACTCAATCGTGATATGGCTTTTTCTGGACCTAGAAAAGTCAAGGAGAGGAAAACTAGCTCCTGCTGAATCATGAGCCTCCCTCAGTTATCACTGCCACTGGGAAAGTTTGTGGCATAACCTAGTCCACTAGAGAATCTCAACCACTTTCCTATTGGGTCTCTGAACATGCATTAACCTCATTCACAAAACCCATTATTTGAAGTATGTAGTAAGGCAGACTGGGAGTACAAGATTGTATCAGACAGAAGTTTATAATATTTTCTCTCTCTTTAGAATTCTCTATCCATAGGTGATTGGGGTCCACATGAAATAATATTCATTTATTTAATCATCATTGATTAATTCTTCAAATATTTATTGAGTGCCTACTACATACCAGGCACTGTGTAGGTGTTGGAAGGATGTAATATGATTAAATCATGGTCTTGGCTTATTTTGTGTTTTTGTTTTTTTACAAAATATCTAGTAGTAGAGATAGGACAAACAGTGATAGAAGAAACAGAAATAAAATCTAATTCTTAGAGCTGTAAAGAATCTTAGAAGTTGTTTAATTCAGTGGTTCCCAAACTTGGCTTTATATCGTAACTGCCTGGTTAATTAAAAATACAGATTCCTAGGCCTCAATGTTAGAAAACCTGATTCAGTAGGCTTGGGATGGGGCCCAGTAATCTATATTTGTAACAAGGTCCTACATGATTCTGGTGTACCTGGGTACTAGGGAACTTTGATAGTTCCATAGAAGTAACTAATGCTCAGAGGAAGATGTGACCTACACAGTCCCCCAGTGTAGTGACCAAGACAAAACTCAGGTGTTCAGATTCCCAGACTAAGGTTTTAATTATAGGAGAATAAAAATCTGAAATTAGTGACATTATCAAATAAGTCATTGAACTAAAAAATTTTAAAAGCCTTAAATTCCTGAGCCATACAAAGTTCTATTGCAAAGACTTTTTTGATCTTAAGGAATGGTCATGTAATAAAGGTCAAATGTGAAATTTTTTAATGAAAATGTCTTTAATTTGTGTCTCTTCAACAACATCCAGCTGAACTTGGAAATAATAAAATGTAACTTAATTACATCTGAAAAAGACCTCTTTTCCAAATAAGGTAACATTCACAGATTCCAGGGATCAGGATGTATAATAACTGAGTCTGTTATTTGCAGTACTTCTATTCCTGGCACCAAATTCTATATCAGGTAGAATGCACTGAGCAGCCAGCCAGTAACAGAAAAGTCAACTCACATTGGCTTAAACAATAAAAAAAAAAAAAGAATCAGGGCAGGACCCCATAACTGAATGATGGCATCAGGAATGCAGGTTCTTTCTGCTTCTTTGCTTGGCCCTCCACAGTTTTGGCTTGAACCTAAATTTAATATCTTTATTGCTGTGGTATGACTGCCAGTGGCAGTGGGAGCTCTGTTCTTCCTCATTCACAATTTATAGGAGAAGAAAGCCTGTCTTTCTATGGCATTAAAGATCGAGGAAGTTTCTTTCCCAGAGTCCTTACCGAGGCTCCCTTAAATCTCATTGACCCAAATTGGCTTAAGTTTGTCCATCCCCAAACCAATCACTAACAAGGGGGTAAATTGCCATGAATTGTTTAGATTAATCATGGGACAGAATGGGAATGTTAGGAGGTCAGTCACAGTGCCTACTGCCCAGGAAAATTCAAAACTCCGACTCTATGCTATTGAAAGAGTTGGATCTAGGTAAAAAATAAACTTTCTTTTTTGAAGACTCAAAAATTTCCTATGGGGAGACTATGACTAGTTAATATTTTGAGATATTAGCTTACACATTTTCATTGCTCCTTTGTTTTCTGTTTTCACTTTTCCCATTCAGGTAGGGAGCCAATTTGGTACTTCTTTACCTAGGGTGAGATATTTGACAGAATAGAACACATACATTTTCTGCATGTTCTCCAGCTTTAGTTTCCCCAATCCTAATGTCTTTAGAGAAGTTACAGAATTTGGGGAAAGAAGCAAAATAAAATGTGATTTGTGCATGCACATAATACCTCAGAGAAGCAGACAAGGAGATTCACTTTGGCTGATGAGAGAAGTGGGTGAGATTTGGAGCTTCCTGAACTGAAGGGACCAGGGTTCACTTTCTGGAAGTATGTTGGGGAAGTGGAAAGACTCAAGAATCTCAGCTGCTTTGTGTATTTTGGCAGATGAGACCGTGGGTGATCTCACAGAAAATTCATCTGTCTCACTATGGCAGGAAGGCAGCAGAGGTTTACCAGATATATGGGCATGTAAATGGGGACAGCAGACATTTAAGAGGTAAACTATGCAGATAGGGGACTGAATATTTTTTTGATTTGTGAGGTTAATATCTGCTTCAATATTACACTTTTGTTTATTTAATATTAGGATCATAACTTTTTCTCTCTTTCTCCCTCTCTCCCTCCATCTTTCCTGCCTTATTGTCTCCCTCCAGCCTTCCCAGCCTTCCTTCCTTTCTGAATGGTTGGTGGATACATTTGGAAATTACTACCCACACTCCATAGCTGCTGGATTGTATACAACAGATTGTATTTTTATTGTAAGATATAGTTTCAGCTACATGTCACAGACACGAAAATTAACAATGGATTACACTTTCTTCCTCATGGAAAAATCTAGAATAATAGTATGGTGTCTCCTGTCTATTAATTTGTAATAGAAACTAGATAGAGACAAATCTGTAATTTGTAATAGGGGCTCAGACCCCTTTGGTGTTCAAAAGGTTTAATAATTGCATTTCTGAATCTATGGGCCAAATAATTGTGATTTCTCTAGGAGGACTGGATTGGACTTGCAGACTGTACCTGAGCCTCTCTTTTTTTTTTTTAAAGATTTTTTTTTGGGGAATTGGGGGAGGGGAACAGTGCTGGGAAATCAGGGAAGGGGAACAGAAAAGTTGCTGTCCTTTTGATCTTCAGTCTCGTTGTGGAGGACGTTGCTTCACGGGCCCATGTTGGTATTATCATTGAGCTCTTCCCAGGTGAGGCAGATCGGCCACTGGCCTCTGGACGGCCACTCACGGCGACTCTTGGCAGCTCACACCAGCTGCTGGCCGCTCATGCTGGCTGCCGGACACACACACGGTAGCTTATGGCAGCCCACTGCAGCAAGGGCTGCAGCCTATGCCATCGCCGACGACTCATGGCAGCCCAGCTCCAGGTCGAGCTGTTGTTCACCATCTTAGCTGTAGAGGGCAGTGTCACTGGCCCCCATGTGGGATCTGAACCAGGGCCCTGCTGTTCAGAGCTGGCATCCCAAGTCAGCTCTTAACCAACGTGCCATGCGGCCGGCCCTACCCAAGCCTCTCTTAATGGCAGAAAATTGAGAAGAGTTTTGAGACATTTTTCATCATCAATCAGTTTTGGTCTTTGAGTCACAGGTTAGAGATCCTTATCTATTTTTCTGACAGCTTTGTTCAGGTATAATTTACATACCGTAAATTCACTCGTTGAATTTTATGTAAGTGTACAGTTTGATAATTGTTTACTAATTTATGCAATTTGCACAACCATTGGACAGTCCAGTGATAAAAAATTTTCTTCATCCAAAATGTTCTCTTGTGCCTGTTTGAAGTCAATTCCCATATCCACTCCAGTCTCCCCAGACAATCTCTGATCTGCTTTCTGTCTCTATACACTTACCTTTTCTAGAAATTTTATATAAATAGAATCATACAATATGTAGTCTTCGTGTCTGGCTTCCTTTACTTAAAACATTGTTTTGGGGCTTATCCACATTGTTGCACATCTCAATAGTTCAGTCTTTTTTTATTGTTTAATTGTATTCTGAAAATGGGTACACCACATTTTGTTTATCCATTCACCAGTGAGGAACATTTGGATTGCTAATGTAAATAATACTACTGTGAGATTCAAATAGCCTTTATATGAACATATGTCTTTGTGTCTCTTGAGTAGATACCTGGGAATGGAACTGCTGAGTCATATGGTATGTTTAACTTTTTAAAGAAACTGCCAAACTCTTCCCAAAGTGACTGTACCAATTTACATTCCCCCCAGCAATGTATGAGAGTTCTATTTTCTCTAAACCCTCACCAACACTTAGCATTGTCAGTCTTTTGGACTATAGCTATAACTGTTTGTGTGCAGTGGTATCCCATTATGGTTTTAATTTGCATTTGCCTGGTAATTAATGATATTGAGCACATGAAAAGCATAAAACTCCCTGTAAGCCCAGTTTTAGCTGCACCCCATAAACTTTGTTTTTATTTTCATTTAATTTAAGATATTTTCTAATTTCCCATGTGATTGTTTTTCTTTGACCCAAGGATTATTTAGACATGTTTTGTTTAATTTCCAAATATTGTGGGCGGACGGGGAGAGACATTCAAATTTCTTCTTGTTGCTAAATTCTACTTTAATTCCTCTGTGGTTGTAGAACAATCTTTGTGTGATTTCAGTCTTTCACATTTTATTGAGATTTGTTTATGGTCTAGCATATCATTTATTCTAGAGAATTTTTGTGTGTGTGCTTGAAAATAAAGTGTATTCTAAGTAAAGTGTTCTATAACTATCAGGTCAAGTTGGTTGATAATGTTGTTCAAGTTTCCTTATTTTATTAATTTTCTGTCTAAATTTTTTGTATCAATACTCAAGAGAGGAGCATTGAAATCTACAACTATAGTTGTCTATTTTTTCTTTTAATTCTGTTCATTTTGCTTCAAGTTATTTTGAGGTTCTGCTATGAGGTGCACATACATTATAAATTTTATAACTTCCAGATGTAATGACATTACAAAATGTCCCTATGTATCTTTAGTGATATTTCTATTTGTAAAGTAAATTAATATAGCCATTCAAGTTCCCTTACAATTACTATTTGCATAGTATATATTTTTTTATCTTTTAACTTTCAATATGGTTGTGTCTTTAGATCTATAAAGTATGTCTCTTACAGGCTACATATAGTTGGGTCTTGCTTTTGTATCTAGTCCCACAACTTCTACCTTTGATAGAAAAGTTTACTCTATTTATAGTATCATTGATGTCACTAGATTTACATCTGTAATTTTGCTATTTATTTTCTTTAGGTCTTATTTATTTTTGTTCTGTTCCTCATTTACTGCCATCTTTTGTGTTAAAATTTTTAGTGTACCATTTTAATTCCTCTTCTGATTTTTAAAAACTTTCTAAAAAATGTTATTTTCTTAATAGTTTCTCTAAAGCAGTGGTTCTCAATCAGGGGCAATATTGCTCCCCCACTCCTGCTAAAGGACATTTGGAAATGTCTGGAGACATTTTTGCTTGTCATAGCGGAGGAGGTCATTCTGAGTTCAGCTAGTACTCATATCAGCCTTGGCTTTAGCTTTTAGCTAGGCTCCAACAGCTCTCCTCATGCACGTAAGTTGTGTTCCAGTCAGCTGGCTATGTATGGAGAACTTATTCCAGCCCTTCGATGACTCATTTCGAGGATCTCATTGATAATTTCTGATTGGTCTGCTGCTTGCCCCAACCAGGGCCACAAGCTCAGATTAGAAGAGCTATAGGATTTTCCTGTTCACATCCTACTAAGTTGGCTGCTTTTACTGATAATGCTGTGGTGTGTTTTTACCTTCTCCCTGAAATCAACCCTACTCTCTGGCAGCAGAGTTGCTAATTTTCTGGCCAGCTCTGCCATTCTTGCCTCTTGAGATGAGGGAAGAGTTCCAACAAGGAAATCACAGATTCCTACTTTAGAGAAAGCAGTTTTTCATGAATAATGACTCTCAATTTGTTGTTTACCTTTGGTTGAATTCCAGAGAACTTAAACTATTGTTTTTGACAGTTCTGTCCAATTTTATACTTGTTTTTGGAGGAGAGAATTTGCCGATCTCTTCAAGCCATAGTTGGAAGTTCCCCCAATACTTTGGAGTTAAAGCTTGCATCATAAAACCTGGCAAATGTAGCATAGTCGTTTTCACCCCTGAAAGGGTAATAGCATCCTTGAGGAAATCCAAGTCTATGTTTCTCTATTAAGCAAAGAAAACTAAAGATAGTTGT